CCCCAAAACCCCAAAACCCCAAAACCCCAAAACCCCTGAGGAGTAGAGTGGGGTTGAAAGGGGTTTTAAAGTTTAAGGGGGAGAGTAGAACGTTTGGGGTTTTGGGGGGTTTCAAATTAATGTAGTATATCAGCACTTAGGGTCTTGATAAGGTAGTCTTTGCCATTTAGGTGGCCAACACAATCAAAGAATTCGCCTTGGTATCCTTTCTTGTTTCTTTTGACTTTTTCAAACTGGCCGTAAATTATATTGTCAGTGACTATTTCTCCGTCACTTACGCTAACGTTATCTAAATCTTCTTCATTTTGATACATCAAAACAGGCTCAGAATTTTTAAGAGGCTTTGGCATCTGAACTCTAGGATCCATCAGTGATTTACGAGTCATCAGTGAACCTGTTAATCCATCAGCACTAATCATCTGACTTTGTGTTAAAAGACCACCTTTGCTACCAGTCTGATTATAAGATCTAATTGATGCTTCTAATGCTTCAGCTTTAGCTCGTTCCTCTTCTTTTTCTTTCTCTTCTTGTTGCTTCTTTTCTTCCTCTATTCTTCTAAGTATTTCAGTTCCTGTTATTCCTGAACCATCTGCAAAGAGTTTCAAGTCTGGGTCTTCCTCAGATTCCTCTTCTGTTTCTGATTCTGATGTATCACCTCCATCACTTCTGAACTCAGAGAAGTCTTTGGATTTCATAAAGTCTCTGCGACTCTCAGGTTGCCTTTGAGAGTGAGGTGGTCTTGGCATCTGTGGGCCCATCATTCCACTTCCGTGGAATTGGCCTGGATTCATCATAGAGCCCATCATCGGAGGCTGACCCATGAATCCTGGATACATTGGTGGTGGCACTAGCTGATTCGGCATCATAAGATTAGGAATTGCAATACCATGAGGTACTCTATTAGAGTTATTGTAAGCACCAAATATTTGTTTCTGATTCAACTTAGATTCCCATCTTTTCTGAAGAATTTTAAAGCTTTGTCTATATTTACGATCTCTAGCAAATACTTGGCCTACTTCTTCAAGTACTGATGTCATGACAATGATTCAGTACTTTTTCATATCTCATTCTGGATTTTGACTCATGTTTATGTATTTTTAAGGTTCTAAGAAATGGCTAGAATCTATCAATCACTTCGAATTATTAAAAGAAAGAATGTATGCTATTTAAGATATTTTACCTAATTTCCATCAAATTTATCAAAAATCAACATGAGACTTCAGTCTTTATCAAGTCTATTTTTATTTAACTTAAACTTCTTCCTAAAATGTGAATAAGTAGCATCAATCCATCATTAATGAATCTCAAAATGGAAATGTAGCCCTAAAATATACTCTAAAATCCACCATTCACCTCTAAAAATAGTGAAAATCTCAAACTCTACAATGAATGTACCAATTATATAAAATTTCACATAGCATTTATTTTTGCTCTCTGAACTCCTAAAAATGTCTTCAAGGAAATTCTTGATGTGTCTTCCAAAATCTGAGTTTTACCTCTTAAATCTGAAATATAGCTTCAATCTGGTCCAAAATCCTAGGGGTTTTGGGGTTTTGGGGTTTTGGGG